AATCTTGCGGGAAATTTGACAATTAACAGGACTTTTCGGTTTTTAGGACGTCATTAACCTCAATTTATATTTTTGGTGGACCGGTCAATCAAAGTCAATCAAATTGCGGCTCACGACTCACCACATTCAAGTGGCGATCTTTGCCTTTGCATAATAAAGTTTGAAGCGACAAACCTGAATCAAATATTTCTCAACTAAAAAGGGAATAACCATGTGGAAAATATATAAACTTTTGGAAGTCTTTTGGAAGTGTCTTCTAGGCTGGCCTTAAGTTGACCGAGATGACACATGAAGAAAAGAAAAGCTTACAGGAGGTGCCGGCTTGAAGCCCCAGTTATACAAGAGGTACATCGATGATACCCTGGCTAGAATGCCGAGCGCTGATGCTGCTGCCGAGTATCTTTGTATCCCGAATGGCCTACACCCCGGCCTAACTTTTACGATGGAGTTCCCTGTAGATAACAAGATCCCTTTCATCGGCATTGAAATCGTCAAGAACGGAACTAAACTTCAAACTCAAGTTTACAGAAAACCAAAAGACACTGAATCAGTTGCTCCTGCACTTCCAAAGTCACACTGATAAACGCGATAAAGACTCTTTATTAAAGACAATAATACATCGTGCCGAGGCTTTCAATGCAGAATGTGCCAATTTGCGCTCTATATTTAGTCGCCTTGACTATCCGATTAGTCTTATTGATTCTGCTAGCAACAATTTTCTTTTTCGAAACACTTCAGCGAACAAAGCAGAAAGAAGGCAATGACGAATGTAGCATAGTAAGCATTAGTCTTCTCCAACTCAGCTTTACCATAACAGCACTTCGTTTCACCACCTTCAAACAATACTAATTGCTTCAATTGTATCTCCATTGTCTCGGAACGGCGCAAAGCGAAATTTTACAACTCCCGTTTGGGAATTCGTCAATTCAGATCTTAAGAGACCGAAGCTGGTTGTGAGCTTTTGCAACCTCATTCCGCCTGCAAAGCATCCTGGATACCCCACTTTTCCCGGGCGACGCTTTTGAATGGGCGCGATTCCGTAATGAAGTGGCCGCTAATGTGGTTCGGAAGCAGTTACGCCATCTTACCGATAAAATTGGCCCTACTTTGCAGCAACTTTTCGTGAGCAAGAAATTGGGGAAAGATCTTAAACCCAAAGAAATTAAGCCGTCAATTGTTAATAGGCAGTGTGTTGTTTATCTTTTTTCATGCATGTGATTTGTGCGATGCAAATTATGTCGGATAGACAGCCCGACACCTTCATCATCGCATTGCTGAGCACAAAAATTCAGCAATCGGTAGACATTTCTTAGAAACTCACAGAAACAACAACCTCTTGAAAGAAAACAAATTCCCAGTTTTAAGAAAGTACCAGGGCAAATTTGATTGTTTAGTATTTCAAATGCTGTTCATCTTCAGCTTAATTTAAATATCCAGACGGACTTCATACGTGAGANCTTGAGGTGTCAATTTTGACATCGAAGGAAAAGATGCACGAAACTGGATTCCTTCTTAAAGATGTTCAATTCTCCGTCGCGCCACAAGCTTTAACAGTCATTACTGGCCCTGTAGGCAGTGGAAAATCTTTTCTTCTTCGAGCTATTGCAGGCGAAGAGTCAGTCACAGCTGGGGCAGTAACCTGGCCATCTTCACTAGTTTACGTGCCTCAGACACCTTGGGTCTACTCTGGAACAATAAGACAAAACATTTTGTTTGGTCAGCCCTACGATGAACCCAAGTACCTAACTGTAGTTGAAGCATGCTGTCTTGTGGAAGACTTTCATGCATTTCCAAACGGTGACCAAACAGTTGTAGGTGAACGAGGTGCCGTTCTCAGCGGAGGTCAGCGCGCAAGAGTGAGCATGGCAAGAGCAGTATACATGGATGGAGACCTTTACTTATTGGATGACCCTTTGAGTGCCGTGGACAAGAAAGTTGGTCAACATATCTTTGCAAAATGCATAAAGGGTATATTGAGTTACAAAACGAGATTGTTGGCGTCCCACCAAAAAGAACACTTCCATGAAGCTAATGAAGTTATTGTTTTGTGCAAGGGGCGTATGTTGGAAAACGGAAGTTTTGCTGAGCTTCAGAAAAAGGGGATTGTAAGCACAACTCTTGCTTCAAGTTTTGAAAACTCTTTGATTGGCAGCACGTCAGAATCGAGAGAGTCTATTACAGAGAATGAAGATCACTCAGATGAAGATAGAGTGGTGCCTATAAAAAATCATGTAAAGGAACTGGAAATATCGGACGAAGACCGTGCTATTGGAGGGGTGACTATCAAGGTTTACTGGGATTACTTCAGGAGTGGACTACACCCTTGTGCAATCTTCGGAATTACCTGTTTCTGTCTCTTCACTCAAGGTACGTTTGACAACTTGTCAGTGTCGACAGGCATGACCTTGTCTAAGTTGCAGTTCGTTGTACATTTTAGCGATTTCCCTCGTAAAAGTAACATTCAGTACGAAAGCTCTACTAGACTCTGATAATCAAGAATCCTGTGTGTAACTAGATTAACGATTTACAAGTTGGTCGTTTTTCCAATCTTCATTACATACCAGACTGTTAGAAATAATTTCCATGTATTGTTTTTGAAGTTTGCCAGTGGAACTCTCTCGATATCTTAGCAAGTTGACATCAAACCCTTCGTAGTTATTTATTTCAAATTTCATTACTGATTATCACATCTTTATTGCTACGGAGTTGACAGGATTTCTAAATTACCACCCTCTAAAATAATATGACTTAAGTCTCGTGTTATCCTACTTAGCCTTTAGCTTTTCCGTCTCCAAATGTATCTAGCGCAATCGATATTTCGAAACAGTGTGTTTGACCTCATTTCCTTTTTTCATAGTCATGATAGTTTTACCTGATGTATGGCTGTCGTTTTTGACAAAGAAAACTCAAGAAGAACAGAAAGACGACGCAAACTTCATCATCTTTGGCTGTCTAGTGCTTATATCCTTCATATTTGCCGCTATCAGAGCAGTTATTCTCCTTTGGGCTTCTATAAGATGCTCTAAACGCCTTCATGATAAAATGGTAGAAGCTATTCTGAGAGCACCTGTTGTATTCTTTGATTCTAACCCTGTTGGAAGAGTTCTTAATCGTTTTTCTAAAGACATAGCCTGTGTAGACGAGCTTCTACCCAAATCGTATCTATTTTCTATCCAGATGATCTTGCAAATGCTCGCCTCAATTCTTATACCCACGGTTGCCAATCCCTGGCCTCTTTTTGTTTTTGTTCCGTTACTTGTTGCAGGTGTGTACATCGTTAGGTATTTCTTAGCAACTTCGAGACAGCTAAAAAGGTTAGAGTCAATAAGTCGGAGCCCTGTGTATTCGCATTTCTCGGAGACCCTAAATGGGTTGGAGACGATTCGTACAAGTGGAAGACAGAGAGACTTTGTGGAACAGTTTAACAGGTACTTTTCAAAGTGAGAGCAAACAACACCAACACGGTTACGGATTTTTTACATTAATTAATAGCAACTCGGAATTTCATCATTTAAATAACAATGAAGCTCAAACTTTCTCTTTGAGGAGATGATCTACGCTAGCTTAAAAAGCAAGTATTCTCTATACTTTTCTATGGTCTCTTTTAAAGTAGCGTTCGTACGATAGTATTTCTGGAAAGCACCCTATGTTGTTGACACTAACTAAAAAATCTGCATTCGCGAACATTGGAGGAAAAGAGATTTAGTATAGGTAATAACACGATTTCGAGGGGAATTTGGTGTCAAAGACAAGACCGTCCAAATTCAACAATGCACGCGCACCACTGGTAATTTGCTCTCGTGTTACATGAAGATTGCACTCACTTTCAGCCCATCAGAAGCGCGTAATTTTTTTATGCATATCATTAATAATGAAATTTATTCCTGTTGTGCAACAGATGAAAGAGGCATGTCGGTCATTTTTAAATGAAATGGTAATTTTATCATTTTCTGTTCAGATTCCAGGATGTTCATACCCAATCGTACATCATGTTGCAAGCAAGCGAAAGATGGCTTGCTATACGTTTTACATTTCTCTGCACCCTCTTCATATGCGCAGTGGCTCTAGCGGCAATATTTGTTTCTCAAGATGCCGGTAGGTGTCTAACAGACTGATTATCTATGAATAATGCTAACAATCTGGTACTTAGCGTGGTACAATTTACGTAACATTCTGCTCGTTGAATTTCAAATCGACATCGACAATAAGAACAAGCTGTGCTTCACTTGCGCCAATAAATTTCCTTCTTTTATCTTTAAGTTTCCTAGGGAAGTTCTTTTGTTGTTATCGAAAAGCTTTCGCGGATAAAATCATTAAACCACAACACGAAAAAACAAACCTATTATGCACACACCGCCTCCAGGTTTGCTCAATGGATAAAGCGCTGGACTGTGAAGGTCTTAAAATAATTGAGAAGAATGCGCTACCTTTCAATAACATCAAGAAATGGTTATATATTCTAGTCTTCTCGGATAGGGACGGATAAATGGAGGTCCCGTCTCCTGCAGGGTTAGGGGTAGGAGACCCCCTCTGTGATGGATGTCCTCCCCTGGATTGGGATGGGTGGGCTAATAATATTCGAATGTATTTAGTACGAGTCGTTCGCTCATTGTACATCTCCAACTGAAATAAATGAAAATACAGACAGACTCATGCATATTTGACTTGCTTTAGATTTCTCGTGCACTTTTCTAAGCCTCATAAAATTATTCTATCGATAGCTTTTGCAGGGCTGGGGCTCGTTTACGTCTTTGAGATCGTGGAAATGATGGATTATTCTGTCCGTAAAACAGCGGAAATAGAGAATTTAATGACGTCAGTTGAACGAATAATGTCATATACCAAACTTGAGAGTGAGCCTGGGTACAAAGATCAGAGACTTCCACCTCAAAACTGGCCCTTTCAGGGAAATATTACCTTTCAAGACGTGTCGATGACGTACTATCCAGGCGGACCTCAAGTGCTGAAAGAAGTAAATCTTCACATAGAAGGAGGAAGCTGTGTTGGTATTGCAGGTCGCACGGGAGCAGGCTCACCGAACGCCTTC